GTTCAGACAGTACTTATGCCTACGTTGTAAGTTAAATTGTGACACGTGTTCCACGATTGTCTCCAGCGCTTACCTTGTTGGCCTCCAGGGCCGAGAACCTCACCGGCTCCTGCGGCTTGTCCGGATTTATCTTGATGACTCTCGCCTTCTTAAACACGTCCAACTCGATCAGCCGCTGCGCCGCCTCCGCGGCGCCCTTGAAGTTCGGTATACGCTTGTATATGTTGACGGGGAAGTTGACCAGCTCATTCTTCGTCATGTAGTCCCACACCTTGCGGCGGAAGCTCGACTTCGTCACCTCCTCGGCTGCAAGAAATCGTTGAACGTGAGGTAGTTGACTCGACGAACGGCAACGATACAGCACGCGCGGTCAACTCGGTACTTTTTGTAAGATAATTTCAAGATTCGGATTCCTTCATTTCACGAATGACCCACTCGACATTCCGCTTCATAATTTTCCTAGTAACAGCGCACGCTTTCGCCAGCAGAGTTTTAACGGGAAACTTACATACTAGACTGACGAATCTGCATTTCATCACTACGGCGTTGTACAAGTCCCTCTTAACTGTACAGAGTTTGTCCAGGCACGACTTTCACTTGACCGACACGTGCGTGGAGTAAAATTAATCTCTGTTCATGTGTACAAACAAATTCATTAGTTCCTGCAAGACGCCAGTGTCGAGCAAACGCTCGAGCGTGCTCTTGTCAGTGTCCACGCACTTTTCCCAGTAAGCGAGCACAGGCTCGAATATCTCCGCGGTGCTGATCGCATTCCATCGAAGACCTCCCGCGTATCCGTACTTCCGCGCAACAGCTGCGAAATTGTCGAAAGCACTGCCGACATTCCTCGTCCTCTGCCAAAAGTGTCTCGAAATAACTGAACAGTTCCAGAGCACATACAATAATGTACAGCAAACGTTTCAATATAACCTAAAATAATAGGACAACAGAGTAAAATAGATACCAATTTTAAAACATACATTGGTTATCTTATAGTAAAATCCTAAAGGCAACCTTAAAGCGATAACTTATAATATTGCTACCTGGGTTATTTCGCTTGCGCCGCTGCGCCACGACCCTATGATCGGGAAAAATCCTCTTGCGTCTGTGCTCGCGCTCTTGCGCCGCACCTTACGCCTTGTCGTCTAGACGAGCCTTGACACATTTCCTAACCTATCAGGGCGAATTCTGGATCGGAAATATAAAAATGGCATATACATTAGATTAATAGAATTCTGCATATTTCAAATAATAATATATCAATGTACGTAACACATTATTTAAGTATTAATGTATAACTCATTTATTTAGATATGTCTTTAATATGTCTTTAATATGTCTATTATAAATATTTCAAAGATATCGGTAAATAT